TAATAACGCGTGCTTATTAAAAAAATAATTGTTGTGTTTTGTTCTTTATGGTATATTTCTCGATTAAAATAACATTACTTTACTATTATAGTTAAAAGTTACACGGCAATGATGAGTATAAACTTGAATTACTTTTGTATGCGCAGCGTTCGCGTAGGTGTTGCACGCCTTACACTATCGCCTTTGTCAATATGTCATCTGCCGGTGAATATCACATTATATTCGACGGCACACTAGTTCAACAATTAGTGTATAAAGTTACATGAGAAAGAGAGAGAGAGAGACAAGTAAAACCGAAGCAAGATATACATGTACATGTATTCCCCATAATATGTTCATTGCAAACAAACGTTTTAATCAAAGTCACAGAAGGCGCTGAATTTGGTTGGGTATCAGAATGTCAGAAAGGTGAAGGTCCAATTTGTTTGTATAGTATCACCAATGAATGTTTCCAGTGTTATAACTATAGTAAATTGGCTATAAGACTTTATTACAACACTGATGTTTCAATTCAAAGTTTATTTGGCATAAACAATTAATTTTTTTTTTTAGAATAAACTGGCCTGTAGTTGGATTTGAACTCCAGACCTTTCGCTTCTAACGCGAGCGTGTAGACCCCTCGACCACGAAGAAATTATAAGATAGCCGTCTGAAGAAACCACATCATTCTAAATTAGAGTTTGTAACCCTTAATAATTTCGATATATTTTGTTCAAAGTAAACCTGTTGTTTAACACTGATGTAAATAATCATGGAGCTTAATATTAGCATGTATATCTATAAATATAACACAATATTAGAAATATTCGACCAATCGAGAACTATTTTTCCTTTACGAAAATTAATGCGCCTGTCATTTGATAATGTTTACGCAGTGATCTCCCCTTAATTTTTTCGGCGTTAGTGTACCTTTAAAGGGAAGTAACCGCTTCGAGGAGTTTGGACTTCCTCCGGCATTTGCAAATAAGAGCATCAGGGTCTGTAATTTCGCTTCCATTATTTGTTTGGTCTGACGACCCAAACAAATAAAAAAAACACGAAAAGAAATATCAATACATTATTGCGCATAACGAATAATGTTACTAATGACTATTTCAACCGGTCACATTTATACCTATGAGCTTAAAAAATTAAACATTTCAATCTATAACGTCTATACATAGGCATGTGTAGGTGTATGTGTTTTAAGCGTATGAGGCTGAAAATATTTATTATATTTATTATGTTTATATCAGCAGTATACGACGTTGAATATTTCTGCCGAATGTACATTTATTTAGAGTTTATTAAGTTGAACATTTCAAACTATAGCATTTTTATGTTTATTTGTTTTAAATTATAATATACAAGGTATTTCATCTATCGCATTTGGTATGTTTATATCTAAGAGTATATATAGGTTGAAAAATTCAACCATGTATATTACTTTGCTTTAGCGAGCATAATTATGATTGTATACATACAAAGGGTATTGTATTGATTATGAATTGACTACGTATCGAATTACATAAATTTCTTTTCATGTAAACGTGTACAACTATGCATCGTTATACAAGTTTAAAACCTCCTTTTGTACATAATTATACCCATGTACTATAATATGTTATTTAGTAAAAATCTTACATCCATACAATTTTTTCTCTCGTTTATTTTCAACTTCTATCACAACAATCTCCTTTATGTGCTTCCATATACGAACTATAGCATACATGTATATACAGTATAGTTATTTAAGTAAACCTTTCATGCATTATGTACCCTACTTTCATTGCTATAAGTGAATGTTGTAGCTGCACAGATGCAATTAGTTCTACCTTTAAGGCTTATTTCAGAAACTTCAAAATAAACCATCAAGTAAAGCGATTGCAGTAGCAAAAAGAAGTAACTTTGATTTTTTTTTTGACGTCATCATTTATTTATTTTGATTAATTCATCCATTATCATATTTGTGTCGTACATTTCAGGCCAAGTAATTCCGCAAGAAGGAATGTCGTGTCAAAAAAGTGTGCTCAACAAGGTGTTTACCCAAGGTTTCTCATCGGGAACAAGGCTCAAGCAAACATTTTATTAGTTGCCGCACTGGGTAAACACATAAATTTCGGTGATAAAGAGGGAACAGAACAAAAAGTACATCATATCGGACGTTTCAAAACTGACGTTGGTTCATCCAGCAGAACTGGGAAAGAAAGGAGACTGCGGCAGCCAGGAGGGTGGTCGACCCAAATTCTGGTATGTAAAAAAACAACCAGTCTGAAAGGAACTAGGAGGTTGTCGTGAGGGGATGACGGGGCTTACCAAGAGACTAAAGCAAACAATGGTTTGTTTGTTTGAAATGGGTTTTACGTCGCACCGACACAGTAAAGTCATATGGCGACGTACTGGTGGAGGAAACCTCAGGTGCCCCTTCCGTGCATTATTCAGGCACGAACGGGCACTGAGTAGAACCACCGACGTTCCGTAAGCTAGCTAGATAGCTTCCTCACATGAAAGAATCCAAAGTCCCTGTTGGATTCGAACCACAGCTGGTGAAGGGCAAGTGGTTTGAAGTTAACGACCTTAACCACTCGGCACGGACGCCCACCATGGTACAATAGTATCTATTACATCAAAATAGAAGAGGGGTTCCTAGATTATGAAGACATGGACTTTTAAGTGTTTTCGCCTAAAAAAGTGTATATACAGTGTTTCGCGTGATAGGGTGTGTATAAACAGTGTCTAGTGTTTCATTAGTGTTTTCGTCTTTTGTATTCTTTAAGATAGTGGTTATCTAATTTCGTATTATATTGTTTTGTATGGGTTAACTATTTAATTATCATTTGAGCATAATTTAGTAAAATATTTTGAAAAAATTTTTTAAAGAAAAACAACGGAGGTGTGTAGTAGACCGACGTTGTTTCGTCTGCATGCCGCGATGGTTACCGATCTTGCACAGAAACTTCCGTAACTGAGTAGGATACTCCCGTTTGGGGTTACCCCTAGTTACCTATAATACAAGAAGACTATTGGCTGGAAATATTAGTATCGTCGTAAAAATGACCCGTGCACAGGTAAGGCCTACAATAAAGCACGCTTTTTGAAAAGTTCGGGGAAGAATTACCTAAATGATTTTATCCCCCAACCTCGAACTTTCGACTTCGAAAAAATAAGGATTCCTCTTCAAATATCATGAAAAGGTAGAACAGTTTTCTCTTATTGACATATAAAAAATTTTAATATTTTTTTTATATAAACATCGCTAAATTTGTTCAATTTATTTTCCAAAAAATCTAAAATTCTAACAAATTTTCCACCTATAAATTCGGGGCACTTTGCCTAAGCGGACATTCGAACCACAAACATTTCCCTATAAATGTACATCCAAAAAGGAACATCACACAAATTCCCGTCCTTAGCACAATTATATCTTGTGAGCTACTGATGAGTATATTTCATTCAGCGTATTAAATAAATTTAGAAATAAATCTGTTTGAAAGGCACATTATTTATGCAGAAATGCATTATAACTTTTTAATTCTTTAGAAATGTCAAACATGTATTTAATATTTTTTAGTAATGTGTTAAGAACATGTAAAATGTGTAACATCTTAAGAAAGTAACGCTTAACAGTAATGTGGCGTAAAGGTTGCAAAAGAAAGATAAAAAAGTATTTTGACTTCCGTACAAAATACTTATTTTCTATAATTATGTGAATTGCCAACAGTGCAGAATTAGTAAGAGAGTTGATGAATATGGATTATCAGTATTTTATTGAAAACTGTAACAAAAAACAAAATAAAAAGATTAAAAAAAAAATTAAAAAAAATATTGGTCAGCATTGGTGACCATGACTTATGAGCCCGTGACCCCTAAATTCAATTTGGATGTCAATATCTGTCTAAATTTCCAATGCACTCTTTAAAATTTTAGGGTATTTAAAATATATGTTCCAAGTTAAATTTATCGAGACAATGTGGGACGGAAAGGGCCGGATCAAAAAATTGCAAAAAATAAAGCCCCTCCTAAAAAAAAACACAAAGGAAAATATGGGTTTAAAAATTTTGGGCGGTAACGGTACGAGAAAAAAAGAAAAAGACTGAAAACAAAAACAATAGTTCGGAAAGTGAACAAACTTGCCCAAAAAAGTTTTTTAAAATTTTTTTTTTTATATAAGCCCCAAACAATAACACTTTTAAAATTTGCCCTTTAATGTTTTAAATTTTATTACGCAGTTCACGAATCACGGGGAAATGACGGGGTTTTTTTTTTAAAAAGCCAAACATTTTTTTTTTATTGCAGACCCCAAAAATTTTCTCTGGGGACAATTTCTATTTTTAATTAAAAATCATTTATCATATAGCCTATTGAATTTAAAATGCTCATTTTTTATTACTGGTTTTTGATAAAAACGAATTTTCAAAAAAATAGAATGCCAATTCCTGCAACCTGATACCCTACATTTAAATAACCAAAAAAAAGTTCAAAAATTTCGTAATGCATCTTAAAGAAAGACCCCCAAAAATGACATGACAAAAGCATTTTTTAAGAAAGACCAATTTTAAAAATTTCCCACATGAAGTTCCCCTTTAAAACCAAGGGCCAAAATAAAAATAAATTTAAAAAAACTTTTGGAAAAAGGGGTTACATTTTAAAAAGTTTCCATAGGATCCAAAAAAATTTTAAAACCTTTAAAGGTTTTAAAAGGGTGTGGGAATTTTTTGTCCCCGTCCTGCCAAATTTTAAAATGAAATCCCCCTTTAGTAAAAAATGTGGGCCCACCTATGAAATGGGAAAAACTAAAGGAAAATATTCCTTTTAAATTAACCCCAAATTTAAACAAAGGGTTTAGCATGGGCATAAAAATTTTTGCAAGGTGATGTAAAAATTTAAAAATTGGGAAAATTATTTTTCTAATTTTGGGAACAGGGTTTGTTATTTTCTTTTGAAAACATCCCCTACCCCCCGAATATTATTGGCCCCCATTTGGTTTAATGGAAAACTTTAATAACAAAACCATTTAATTTTTAAAACATTTTTTGATTAACAAAATTTCCCCGGTTTTGACGGAAAAACTCCCTGGCTCTGAAGTAAAGAAGGGAAACGTATACAGGGCAAATTTCTTCGCCGTCTTTGCCAAAAACTTCTTTTATGCCTTTACAAACTGATTCACAATCATTATAATGATGTTTGACTAACGATAATGCAAAATAACATCTTTTGGAATATTCTATAAGAGAATGAGATTGTTCAAGGGAATTGTATTTTTGAAGTCTTTTTCCGTTAATGCTGTGCATTGAATCAATACAATATTTCACATCTTGGTAAAGCAAATTTGTCAATGAGTTAACTTTAATGTCAAGGGTTTGGAGAACAACATTTATTAACTTTGTCGCTTCCTCTTTTTCAGTATGACCTTTATCGAGGAAAAGATTATTTTCCGGTATGATATAATGTGGCAGAAAACCTTGTTTAACGTATTCGGCTAACTTTAGAAGACCCTTTCGAACACAATCTACCAATAACTCACTTCTCCAAACAGTTTCAGGACATTCTTCGCAAAGCCACAGTGCAACATTTTTAATATGATAAGACGATATTATGTCTTTCATGAACTGTTTGTTAAGTGCCTTCAGTAGTACAAAACATTTGAATTGTGTATCATTCATGCTCCATATCAGATATCTTTCAATTTCTGTGAATGAAATCCTCCATTCCATGTCTTGGTCTCTAGAAAATTTGCTACCAATCGGAACAAAATAACAGGAAACGTCTCTTTCTAATGAATGTAACATCGTTTTGCTCGGCCAATCGCTCTTTCTCTCACGCGTTCTCCATGTAATTGCTTCGACAGGCCATTGCTTTATTTTTAAACATTTGACTGTGTCTGTTTTATCGTAAGTCATCGCTGGTCCATTACTTGTAAATGTTGATTCTTTTTGTTTTCCAAGAATATATACAGATGGGAGTATTTTCTCACGAAAAAGTTTACTCGAGATAAAACACTCATTATTATCACTCTTGATTAGTTCAGATATATCTACTTTATGCATGGATATATCTGGATCTTTCCAAGTGTGCTCTTTAAACAAATAAAAGTCATTATTTTTGACTTTCAAACTACAATATCCCGAACTGCATCCATTTCTTGAAATATAAATGGGTAGCGAAAGACCATAACTACCTCTGTGTTCCTTGTCTTCATAAACAGTTAATCCTTGCACTACATCCATAATATCAGCGTCACTTCCATCTAACGAGGACCCTTCTGATAAGCTTCCACTGATAATACATTTCCTCTGCACGAAACGTTCTTCGAGATATTCTGCCATTAATTGTGTTTTCTGTTTCATTTTTCTAATACCAACACTATAACCAAGTATGTCTAGTTCTCTATTTAGTTTGTTGGTATCCATGGCAATTAGTATCAACTGATATCACTACTTACGATTAAATCTACAAAATGTATATTAATAAAATGTGTCTTCCTTTTTTCTACCAATCTTTAATAGGCAGCATAAAATACAGGGTTTAAAATAGGTTTTCAGTTTTTAATTCACTTTAAATGCGGTTCGAAATACCCTTATGTACAACCGTATTGATCTGCTTTAAAAATCTGACAGACACATAGTAAAGGTGGGAATAATAATTATACCTCTTAACCACGGGTAGTCAAAAATGTAAAAAGTCATATTACTATTAGTTATTTGCGAACACGAAATATCGACCGCGATCGGGTATTGAATACGAATCGTAAAATTGTAAATTTATTGTACATCGACACGCTGTCTAGACATGTTACTGAGCATGCGCAATAAAAAATATTTATATAAACTAGCTAATAACTGATAAATTGAGATCACCGATTTCAATTGCAATGCAACCAGATATGTGCATTCATTAAGCAAACAATGATACCATGATCGGCATCAAATTTAAAATGCCATCCACGCACATATCAGGAAAGCACTGCACTGCACTTCAATTTGTTATAATCAAAGTGCTGAAAGCACTGGATGCAACGGACATGAAAAAGAAATTGCATAAATGAATGCTGTCAAAAAAGAATCAAACATCAGTCATGTTGCACCATGAAATTTCTATATTTACAAAGTGCAGTAAAATTCTATGCCCGAGTTTTATGGGGTTTGCATAGGGACCTCCAATTATAATCCCAAGACATAAACAATTATATAAGGTTTCATGTGAATATTTTCAGTTTAATTTCGAAAACTGATATTGTATGTTTAAGTTTTAAATTATTACCACCAGTAAATATATGCCGTTCTAAAGATTGTTTTGTACTAAGAATTTTCTAACCTCAAAAAGGCTATTACTCTGTTAAACATAGGTTTCAGAGAGTAACCTCCATTTATGTACATTTGTACAATGTATTTGGTTTCAAATTGATGCCTTCAGTTTTGAAAATTGATGTTACATACTGTCTCTTCAAATTCTTAAATAGAATGGTCGTATGCAGGTTTTATGTGAATAATTGTATATATGTGTAAAAAATGTACGTTTAAGAATGAGACAAAAATAAAGTATGACTATATACTAAAATTTAACAGACTCTACCGAGGTAAGTTGTGTCTGGACATGATTTTCCGATTAATATTCCATAAGATGTTGGTCTAGCTCAATAACTTGTATGCAAAATTTCAGGTTATGTGCCCTCTCTGTTTTCCCAGAATAATTATTTTAATTTGGAAAATGACCCAAAATTGAAAAGCATTACAAACCTATTCACTCAAATCAGGCTAAGAAAAACACAAAGTATGATTTTCAACTTTATTTCTGTGTATGTTTCTAAATTATCGTTTGCTTTTATTTCTGTGCCACAACCGTTCTATGGAAGAAATTCAAAGTTTGTTTTCTTAGGCATTGGTCCTCAGTGAAGTCCCTTTGACCAAAAATTTTCCGAGCTCACAGAGTAATGATCAGTCAAAATCAATGTCAGAGTCCTTGGGCCCTTGGATAGTGACCTCTATTTTTGATCACGAAAACATGCATTAAGATTAAAGAAAATAGCGTCAGTAAGTTCACAAAGGACCATAATTCAATAAAACCCACCATAGAACTACAAGTTTTGGATAAATTGTGTTTGTTTTGGAAAGTGACATCCAACTATGATACCGAAGACATGTATTTAGTTTCAGTACATGTGATCATTAATCTTCAATGATATTACATGAGAAAAATTAAGCAAGATTATTTTGGTTGAAAAGAATCCATATTCTGTCAAAAACCATACTAGAGTTATTCTATTTCGGAGGATCTCAAAAGTATTTTTGAAGTTACAACGACATATTATAGTGGTTCATGAGATTTGATGCTTTACAAGCTGGACGTTGCCCTCAAATCTTTAACCAAAGCGGTATGCCAACACGGACACTATGACACCAAGATGAGAGGAATAGCATCATTATTCTGCGAATAGTTTAGCTTAAAAGTTTGTCAGGCTCCAGTCTTTATTTATACAAGTGACATGAAACCTTGCAATATTCTAAATTTTGTTTGCTCTATTTTTGGTCACACATAAATTATTTTATTAGAAAGTAATATGTTCCTCAAGAATCAGGGGTATTTAGAATACATGTGGGGGAATAGTGCACACATATTATGCAAACTATAAAATAGGTCAAATTTTGTTTAGGGAGAGAATATCATTCGAAAAGACTTACTCTGTTATTACAGGGCCGGACCATAAACTTTCGTCGGGAGTGGATTATGTTTGAAATGACCCCAACTCCCTCTTTTGATGTTGGAGGGGGGTCAAGGGGTTCCCCCAGGCAAAAATAAAAGAAAGAAAATTTCATGTTAACATGTGGCTTTTGGTGCATTTCAGATGCACAGTTTAAAAACTAAAATTACATATTATTTTTGCAAAAGTGGAAGAAAAAACCTATAGGAAATCTATGACTTTTAAAGAATTTTCCAGAGGGTAAGATGCCCCTAAATGTTTCTGCTATAGGCAGGAAAAAACCCTGATAATGTATGACATAAACCCTAAAAAGTTATACGTTAGAATTGCTTTTTAAATAGAATTTACATCACTTCCGCTTCAGTATTGTGTAAAATGTAGCTGAATATATATACCAAACAAAATCGTGATCACATTCAAGGGGGCTATTTATAATTTACATGTACATGCATTTAGATGAACTAAGAGTTAGTGGCTCTTTTCTTAGGCTTATTTACTCACTTAAACTGCCTCTACACTGACCAAGGGTAACCTACATGTAGGTAGTGTCTGTATGTATAGTCTTAACCATTATGTCGACTAATTGGACATTGGACTGAAATAATTTTGTAACAGGAAGCTCAACTGGGGTCAACAACTGCACATATTCCCTGGATATCAAAATCAAATATATATTCAATTCATTATTGACGTCCGTCAAAAGCTACACATAGCCTGTGTGTATCTGTCATCACATAAACGCGCGCGCACGTGTATTTAATCCGACAAAATGACTAAACTAAATTTATTTGATATGTAGAATAAAATTATGTCTTAGACGACTTTCCCGCCAAAAGTGTCCTTGTCAATTTATCGTTTGCATGCTGCCGATGGCTACCGATCTTGTACGGAAACTTCCGTAAATATTTAAGATACTCCCGTTCGGGTTACTCTAGTTACAATACAAGAAGACTATTGGCTGGGAATATTAGTATCTTCGTTCACTAACCCGTGCACACGGTAAGGCTTTTTAAATGTTGCGGCCAGGAATTACTACGATTCTATCGTAACCTCAAACGTTCGACCTTGGACTAAAATTATGATCTACACTAAAAATCATGCTATTTATTGACTTATAAATTAAAATTTGTATATAAACTCGCTATAGTTGTTCAATTTATTTTCTCAAACATCTTATTCTAGAAAAAAATCCACTATACAATTACGGGGCATTCCATAGATGAGCATTCTAACCACATACATTTCCCTATGTACATTAAATTGAAAAGAACATCACATAAATCCCCGTCTACCACAATTATATCTCTTGAGCCACTGGCGAGCATATTTCATTCTGCGTATTAAATACATTTAGAAATAAATCTGTTTTAAATGCACATTATGCCTCAGAAATGCGTACTTTTTTAATTCTTTAGAAAATGTCAAACATGTATTTAATAATGTTTTAGTAATGTGTTTAGAACATGTAAAATGTATAACATCTTAAGAAAGTAGCGCTTATGAGTAATGTGTCGTAAAGGTTGCAAAAGCAAAGAAAAAAGTATTTTTAATTCCATACAAAATACTGATTTATCAATTGCCCACAGAGCAGAATTAGTAAGAGAGTTGATGAATATTGCTAATCAGTAATTTATTGGAAATTGTAACAAGATACAAAAATAAAAACAAAAATTGGTTAGCATTTGTGACCATGACTTTTGAGTCCGTGAACGCCAAAATAATTGGGGTCATTTACTGTCCAACACCAATATACCAATGCATCTTTGAAGTTTTAGGGTAATGAAAACATGCGTTCTCAAGTTATGAATCAAAGACAATGTGGGACGGACCTGCAAAACATCATGCCCTTCTTGAATAAAACTATGACGAATGTTAAAGTTCCGGACGGTGACGGGAATGGGAAACGACGACAAGACTGAAGCAATAGCTCGATTTTTTCCCGAAAAAAAAATCAAAAAGTGACAAAACCTATCAAAATGTTTTCTTTTCTTTTATTTTATATAAAGCCAATCACATAAACTTAAATTATGCTTCAATGTTTTTAAAATTTATAAAGCAGTTCACGATCTGTCTCATTCAAACGGAGCCTGGAAATTGCCGTCATTTTCTGTGGTATTTAGCAGACCCGCAACTCTTCTCTGGGCACAAATTATCAATTTCTAAATATGTCATTTATCATGATAGCCATGTGATAAATTGCTGCATTTCTTAATACTGGTTGAGATAATAACGATTTTGAAAAATAAGAGAATGCCAATTTTCTGTCACCTGATATGTACGAGGGATGATCAAAAAATAACCGGACTTTGTAAATGATTCTTCACCTGTTAAATGAATTTACATACAAATACACGGAAAATAAATCGGAATCTATCCCCTAAATACATCAAATAGCCAAATAGGTTCAAATGTATATGAAAATATTTTCATCAGGTCTTGACAAAGCCTTTTTGAAGACGACCTGTATGAAATCCCTTTCTACATGAAGTCCCAGTTTATAGGCAGACAAGTATAATAGATACCAGCTTAGAATAAGTGGGTTACAACTAATGTTTTCTCTAGGTCCCAGTAAATACATCTGAAGTTTAAAAGGATGTGGAATATCGTCACGTTTATGCCAATATAAATTGAAATCCGTCAGTAAATTGTGCCGACCCATAGAAATTGGTAGACTAGGAAGATATTCTTTAACTGTCCCTGATTTTAAACAAATTGTTGAGCATGGAAATAAAATGCAACGTCTTATGTAATATTTATCTGATTTTTCTTGTAATTTAGGTTACAGCTGATCCCTTATTTTAGAAAACATCCCGTACTCCGAGTATATTATTGCACATGTTAGTGACACTGTCAAGTAATCA